TGAGTGTTAGGAAGACTTGGATCGCCAGCAATAGCCCAATAAGATGAATCAGTATCACCTTCAATGAAATGAAAACAATTAACATCCATGCATTTATACATAAAATCATAAATGAAAACTAAATACCAGTATTTAGCATTATCTAAAGTGAAGAATGCCTCTTGTAAACATGTATCACATCTATAAAATCTATCTTTAAGCATCACTTGATATGTATCTTCACCTATTCTCTTATGTTTTTTATTTTTATTTGACATTTACATGACACACGCAACGCGTGCCTTCTGTGCATTCATTATTTTAGTCTTTGCGTAATTTTGTGTATTCATTGCATCGTAACCATATGATCCATTAAGCGAAATCTTGCAAAATAAACTTTTTCCTTTATTTCCTTCTAATTCAGCCTTTTGTCTTTCGTTCATAAATTTGTTCGCAAATTCATTAAAACAGGTGTTTTTCGTAAATGTTAAAATTGATTGAATATCATCGATGATAAAATGAAATCTGTCGATTAGATACCAAAGATAATAAGAAGAAAATGGTTGATATTGGTTGTGTGTTGATGCTAACTGAGTTAATTTTCTCTGTTTCTGGTCAACTGGTAGATTGTTTGATTTCATGTAATTATACATAAAACTGCCAATTGTTTTTTCATCTGTGATAATATCTAAGTTTCTTATTATCGGTAAAAAGTTTATGTAATCATTAATGTATTTTTCATCAATGTGACCCTTTACTTCAGCCACGATATAAAGTATTTTTCTTCTTAATTATTCCAATGCTTTTGCTTTCTTTGTTGCTGTATCACAAATGATAACACCATTCAATCTTCCCGGCATATACATTTTATGGTCAGTATATTGAATGAAATCATGAGGATTAGATGAAAATGATGAAGGATATAATGAATTAAAGTCAACACCAACGAAATGAGTCATGATGTTGGTGGTGTCCTCATTTGATACAGTTTTAGTTTCTGGATTATATGAAAGTTTATTAATGTGCGTGATTCCTTTAAGATTTACTCTATGTTGAACATTTGATAAACCACCAGTAATTCCATTACGGAGAATGTGATAAGCTTCAACTGAATCTAATGTCATTGGTAAATTATTTTTTAACGCATAATTTCTTAAATTGATTCTTAAACGTTGAACATCTTCATCTTTATTTGATTTCACGACATTGCAATAACAACACATTAACTGACAATTTTCTTTAGTATGTGGTTTTTCATTATCGATTCTATCCAATGTTGGTTTATTTGCATATGTAAACGCTTTACCACACATTTTGCATTTAGATGAAAGGATTAAATCGTGATAGTATTGAAAATCATCCATTGAAACATTATTTTTAGTATCCCTTTCTGCTTTTTCATCTTGTTTCTTATATGATTCAATTTTATATTTCCAATACTTTTTCGTTAATTCAAAACTTGATTCTATCTCTTCCTCAGGATATTTTCATTAGGATTAAAGTCTTTATATGCTAAAGCGTAACGAATCATTGAAGCATTCGATGATAAAGAAAGATTATGAAGCATATCAATTTTATAAACAAATGTTTCTTCAATAATTTTATCGATTGGGTCAATCATAATTTCAACATCTTTATTGCAATAATGAATAAAATATTCTAATCTATTCTTAAAATTTTTAGCATCATTGAGATATATTTGATAATCACTATCTGATATAGTTTCTTGAGTTAATGCTGAATAAAATGAATCTTTCGTGAATGGTTCCTCTTTATATAATTCTTCTTCGTAATTTTCCCATGTGATAAATTGATAAGGGAAAAAGGATTTAACACGTGATTTATTGTTTCCGAAATCTTGAGTGAATTGGTCTAATGTCCCACCCGCTATATAATTTCTGATGTCAATAAATCTCAATTCATATGGAACGTTTGTTTTCTTTACAATGATTTGCTTAAATTGTGAAGATGAACCCAGCATTGATTTTATTTTCCATTTTGCAGTGTTTAAATCACGAAGAATTAAATTTAAATCAAACTTTCCCGAATTAAAACCTATGATATTCACTTTATTGAATTCCTCATCTAGAAGTTCTTTAAATGCTTCCTTCTGTTTTTCATTTAATGTATGGGACAAAGTCCCCGCCGTTTGGTCTGAAAGACCTTCAGTACTCAAAGAGTCCGTTTGCGACTTCATTAATTCTTCATATTGTTCAATATTTGATTTAGCAACTAATGAACAGGTTGAAAATAAAAACTCAATCCAATCAGAAATAAAAGAATCACTCGAAGTTAAGCAAAAATTCCTCGTATATGTTTTATCATTTAATTTAACCGTTGATGATACCATGAATGGTTTTAAGTAAGCGTTCAAAGTTGCACACTCAGAAAGTTGTAATTCTTCTTTAGTCTCTAATGTTTCAAAGTCAAAAGTAATATAATATCTTGTCGGTTTATAATATTTCTGCAAATTGTGAGCTAATAACCACTGATATATCTTCTGTTTCGTAATATGTGGTGCATATGGTTGCTGTGTCTTTTGCAATTGAACGTCTTGAATTAATCTTCCATTATTTTCTTTACATTTCTCACAATGCTTTAAAAATCTTCTTTGGTTTTTCCTTTCTGGATCATCACGGATAGAATAAACTTCTTCTTTACAATATGGACAAACTCTATAGCCGGTGAGTGCTTCAACGTCTGTTATTCTGTCAGCGTGAAGTTTCCACATGGACTCTGTGTTAATAAAATATTTATTGTTTCAAATTCTGGATCTATCATTATTGAATCCACTAATGGAAAGTCTACCTTATTTATGTCCACGTCTTCTGGTTGAGGATCACAATAATAGAAATCAATATTAACATTTAACATTCTCGCTAATCTCTCACTTTCTGATGAAATGTCAAACCCTTCATATGAATCTATTGCTTCATTTAAATAACTTCTACGAGTTTTAGGATTAACACCATCAGGAATGTTATAGAAGCGTTTAAATAACCTTCTACTTCTGCTCTAATTTGATTATCATTCATTTTAGCTGTTCCGTTTTTGTTCATTTATGTAAGAATAAAAAATTAAAATAAATAAAAATAAAGTTTATTTTTTAAAGCCCATAAAATGAATTAAGAACACATAAATTTTTATCATCTGCGCGACGTGACGAATACATTTTAATTTACTCAAGAATGCGTACCCTGATACATTAAATCTAATTCCTGTCTTATTTAATTTCACAACTTTGAAAAGGAATGTATGAATAGCTATAAAATGATGAGAAGATGTTTTATGGGTTGCTTCCATTTTTTCTGAAATAAATGAATAAATATAATGCTTATACGTTTTCATATCTTTTATATTCTTAATAACGAATGGTATAGACCTTTCCACTTCATCTTCCTTCGGTGCTGTTCTTTCATATGAAACATTATTGGTATCTTCAATAATGAAACCACAATCACACAAAATTTTATAGGTTCCAATGGTTTCTTTTGATATTTTATCTAATAAATCAAAAACTTTATCAACACCTGTGCATTTATTTAAATAATAATTTGTGTAAATATCATGATCTTCTTTCTTAATCGTATTAGTTGCATATGTCACGTTTTTAAGAGCTTTTTTGAATTTCTCAGAATCGAGAGGGGTGAAAGTAAGATACAAGGGTATTTTTCATTATCAATAAATTGTAACTTATGTTTACGTATAAATTTAGTACCTTCTTCTGAAAGTGTTTCATCTATTTCGCCATCTAATAAATTTTGTGTTGATTCTGAGACATAATTTTTATATCTTTCTTCATGAGATTTCTGAACTGCTGATTCTGAAGCTGGGATATTCATTAAACCCTCTACTTCATTTTCATTATATTTTTCAACTTCTCTTAATTCCTTAATTTTTTCATCTATTTCATCTCTTATTTTTTCCAGTCTTTCAATTTCATCGTATTCATCATCTTTAATCCGTTCTTCATAATATTCAGGGAAAACATCAGGTTCTTTAGGTTTTTCTTCTTCAGATGTGGGATATAAGAAATTTATAACATCATCTTTATTCATTTTTCCATCATAATCTAAATTATTTAATAACTCGGCAAATTTTTGACAATTTCTTAAATAATATTTACTAACTTCATAACACATCTCATCTAATATATCCTTTATTTCCTCGTTTGTGAATCCTAATTTTTTAACGTTGTTAGTTTTGACGCTCATTTCATACAAAATAAAAAAATAAAATAATAAACATAACTAAGTTTTAATTTTTCGTAAGACATGAATTTTTAAAGTTTATTTTTCATTCATGAAAATAATTATTTCTAATTTCTTTTACTCTCTCGTATATACTAGATTTAAAGAATTCAGAACATTTCCCATAATCTCCTAAATGTTTTCTTATCTTATTGGTTTTCCATTCATTATATGAAACTGTATAAACTTTATCTTTATTTTTACATCTTTCATCACTTCCAATATATTTATATTTCAATTTTGATTTATTGGTTTCATATTCATTAACGTTTAATAATTCACAGTCTTCCTTTTTAAATAAATGTTTTATGTATTCAGGATTAACAATTCTATAATATTGCTTCCCTTTAAATCTTTGAATATAAACAGGAACACCATCCTCTAAAATTCGATAATCTATTTTATCTGGTTTTACTTGTTGGGTCATTTATGTAAGAATAAAAAAAAATTATTTTAAAAATAACTTTAATTTTTTTAATGGTTTATAAATAAATATATTTTTATTTTTTATTTCATTATGTATGGGCTGAGTGTAAATGTCTTACAATTTTGAAAATTTTTTAAATCTTGATTTATTCAAAAACGTAAGAATAAAACCGTAAGAATCATATATTTTTTAATTAATATGTTAAAAAAAATGATACAAAATCGCTCGATATTGTATGAATTCTTACGTTTACAAAAAAAGTCACACAACCCATCCTATCCTACTACTTATAATTTTAAAATTCAAGCAATGAAAAAAGCAAATTAATAAAATAGATAAAACATTTAGTCATATTTGAATGTTTTAATATCAAACTGTGTAAATCTTGTTTGACATGATGGACAATTTCTATTTCTAATAAATCCTTTCGCACAAGAAGAGCAAAATGTATGTCCGCAAGCTAATACAACAGTATCTCTTGGTTTTCCGCATAATGGGCATTCAATAATGCTCTTTAGTTCATCTAATGAGTGAGGAATATTCTTAGCCTTCATTTTCCTCATAGAATCATTGATTTCGTTCTTTGCCTTGGTTTCACTTCTTATTTGTTCTGTTTCTTCCTTCATTTCAGCGATTTTCGTTTTAATATCTTCGTTTTCTTTTTCCAAATTTTTGATTCTTCGCTCGTACCATCTTTTAGTTGCCAATCTGTTCTGTGTATTCTCTACTATTACGTCTAGATTGGGTGGGAAAGCGTTAATTGAAAAGTTTCCCTCTAAAAGATTTTTGTGTCTTTCTTTAATTTCTTTGAATTGGCTTTCCATTTGTTCCTCGGCCTGTTCTATGGACTGTTTGGCCTTCTTCACGTTCTCACGTGATTGCTCAAGCCCTCTTATTGTTGCTTGGTCCATTTGTTTTGTATGTCTTCGCATTAAACTTGGAAGTTGCTCTTCTAGGCTCGCCCCGTAGTTTTCTATCTGAGATGTCTCTTCTTTGATGGATGCTTGGATGCCTGGAAGCTCTTTCTTGTAATCTGAAAGAATTTTCTTCACGTCTTCCAAATTATTTTTATCAAATGCGGAAATTGCGTCTTGGAGAACTTTCCTGTCTCGCTTACAAAAATCAGCGCTTTTGTCTGGGAATAGTGACTTAAGTTGGCTGACAATTCCCTTTACAAAAATTAATTTTCGATGAAGAACAGTAACTTCTGCTTCTTCCTGAAGTATTTTAGCGTATTCTTCATCGGAAGGATTAAAGTCTGTATTTACGAGTGCTTCTGTTAATTCTTTGTGCTTCTGTAACATAATTGAATAAATTTCTTGCATTTTTTCGGCTTTTGAGCGAACTTTTGGTAGAATATATTGCGAACCTCTAAGATATTCTTGATATTCGGGTGATTCTCTCACAATATCGAATGGAGGATTGTTAATATAATCGTTATACAAAATTGCGTTCATTTCGAGACTTTTGAGTTCATTTGTCAACTCCTTTTCTGTTTCTTCGAGGTCGTTATACATTTCTGTCAATGAATCAATTGGATTTTCGTTATCAATGTTCTGATCTATGTAAGAAAGTGCTTGTTTCGACGGAGCGAGTGAATCAATCAGTTTGTGATACTTAGAAGATACAGCATTTTGCGAAATTTTGAACGTATTCCCTACTTCGTCGCATTTATCTTTTGGTGCATGATCAATTCCGAATTCGAATTTCTTATTTAGGAAGTTAATTAGTGTCTCTTGCTGGGGCTGGTTATATTGGAGACGAGAAGATTGAGCTTGGTTCTTTAGAAGTAGGATATCTGCAAAATGTTGGTGTAATTTCCGTAAAAATTCTCTTAATTCTTCGGATTGCGGAACACTATAAATGATTTGTTTTATATTTTCGTATATCTGATCGTATATTGTTTGAGATGATGTTGATTTGTCGTTGTTATTTGAATTTTCAATGGGAGAAGCGCTTGATGTGTTTGATAAATTATCGGAAGATGGAGCTACTTGCTGGATCTGTGTAGCAGCTTGCTTTAAAATGTAACGAAGCTCTTCGATATAAGCTTGATTACGCGTTAAGCAATGCAAAACGTGATCACTCCTGGAAATTTGCTTTTCAAGACGAGAAAATTCGTCTTCATGACCGCCTGAACCTTGGCGATGATTATTGTCTTGCATTTTTCGTTATGTTCTGTTTAGAGCTTAATTTAAAAAAGTGACGGTTCTGAGATGTGTTTCTTATTTTCAGGGGTTAACGAATTTTTTTTGGGGAAGTCTTAATTTTTCCTCTCTCGTACAAATAGTACATTGTATGATACGTTAGAAAGTGATTTTTGAAATGATAAGATTATTAACATGATCAAGAAAGATTTTATCATATTCATATTGATTGCCTTTAGATCTATCATATCTTGTTGGTTCTGGCATTGATATTGTCGATCATATCTCTCTGTTCTAATTTCCTTTTGGAAAATTTAATATCAAATCTCAAGTTTGTGTATTTCAGTCAAATATTTCAAGAAAAGTATTTGATGCTATCTTATAATGCATGCCCTTGGATACTCCAGTTTTCATTTTAATTCATCAAAAAAATTATATGAGATATTGAATTGATATTATTACAATATAGATCGACATTGTTCATTACTAATATTAGAAATTGATTAGATCTGCTATGAAATATCAATAAAATTTATTTTGGTAATTTATTTAAAAAGTAATTATGCGAATTGTAATAATAGTATTTTAATAAATGAAATTTAATACTTAAAGACCGTGAGCTTGGAACCAATCATCCATTTTCTTTGTCATTGGCGTGAATGTTTCTTGATCGAACTTAGTGGACTCCTGGATAGCTCTCTGTTGCACTGTTTCTGGTTCTGGATAAATTGCCTTGAATGGATTTCCATTTCTATCGTAAACTGTCTTTCCTACTGGTGGATAATAGTTGTTCTTATGTGGTTCAATAACCTTTCCATCCTTATCGAAGAAAAGCATGATATCTGGAAGTGGAGAGTCAACCCAAGTAGCTAAATTACGAATGTAGCCTGGATATTGAATTTGTGGCTGTGGTTGTGGTTGTTCTTCTGGCTTCTGCTCTGGTGTAGCCTCTGGAGCTGCTGGTTGTTGTTCTGGTGTGACTTGTTCAGGTGCTGGCTCAGACATATAAAAATATTAAAATTTTACATACTCAAAAAAAAATTGAATGTATATTCAAAACCATGCGATACGGAAAAATTTTATGTCCAAGCTTTAAATAATTATCATACATGTATTAACTAAAATCAGTGATCCAATTTATTGAAAATTTTGCTAAAGTACTCACAAAATCTAGATTGAGAGGCGGTCAATGACTTTTGAGGGGAAATTAACGCATGGAATTTAATATTATTTAGGTTGATATTCTTGCTTATTATTTCAGAAAAAATCTTAAAAATTTCAATATGAAAATTGAAAGCAATTCAAAAAATTGCTAACATGTAAATTTTAATATCCTATGCATAATTTCATATTTTGAACATTTTTTATTTTTGTTTAAAACTTAAAATTTTGCGAATTTAATATAATTTATAAAATATAATACGTATATATATTTAAAATACACTAAATTTAATTGTTAATTGACGTTTTTGGGAATGAATTTTATCAAAACATGCCTGAATCCGAAAATTTGAAAGAACGAATTACACAATCATATATGTAGAATTCAAAATACAAACTTAAAGATTGTATACGTTTAAAATTATTCAGATTGTGTTTGATTTCCACTCATTCTGTTTCTTTTGAACTCTAACACTAACATTTCATGATGATTACATGATCCATTTATACATGGTTGAATTGTTCCAGATTCTACCAGAAAATCAATCCAAATTTCTCAATGCATTCATGTTGATTGGACAAAATTTAAAATTTATCAGCCTGTTTCCAGAGAAACTCATATATTCCCTAATGAAATGTAATTTTCGCTATATTTATTTCAATCAAATTTCAAAAAATTGACTGCAGAGCTTGAAAAGGTGATGAATCATGTTGTTATTAGATGTACATATTAGATTTACTATTTCCAAAAAAATGCTCAAATTTGAATAGTTTTTAGAAAATTTGGAATTACACTCCTTACATTATATATAATTAAATGTTTAAATTTTATTTATTTTTCCCTTTTAATTTTATAACTTGCTCTATCAAAACTAACCTCTCAATTGAAGGCCACAAAATCTAAGTAGTGAGGGTACACAAATTTTGCATGGAGTACGGTTCAATTTTTGAGAGCCTCACTACTTAGATTTTGTGACTACCTTAGTCGGGGAAGTCAAACAATCTGTTTATAAGCATGTTCTGTTAATCACTCTCGTATGCTGCCGAAATTTAAAATCTTGCAAAGGTTGATGATCTAAATTTTGGATCCAAAATCAGGCTTTTCAAATTCCGAACATTTATAATGGAATCACATATCAAAATGTTTGCCCATGGTCTCCAATGATAGAGAGTTCAAATAAAACGCCAATAATTTGATAAAAATTTGCAAATTTAAAAATTCAATTTCTTTATTATGATAGAAGTAAATATCGTTATGTACATGATCCATTTTGATATATTTTGTTCGAAACTATTAATTGTTTAAAATTAACAAAAATTATAGATTAAAAAAACTCGAATTTGATGCTTAATGAATAACTTCTAAGCTATCGGCAAATATTTGGACTACATTTTGATCTTCGGAAAGAGATTTAGCTCTTGCAGCAAATTCTCTTCTAGCACTCTTAAGATGACCGGATGTAAACTTCTTCTTAGGTGTAAAGGTAGCACCGCAAACTGTAATTGGTGTTCCTGTTGGTGTTGTTGCTTGAATTTTTTCTAATTCTTGACAAAATTGATTAATTAATTGATCAACTTTATCATTATAGTGAGCAGTCTCTGCACAGCTTGTTGTAGCTTTCTTTGGAATTAACTTTGCGTTTTTATTTAATGCTGCTTTAATAATCTCATCAATTGTCTCTTGACTATTTACATCCTTTACAACTATCAATGGATTATCGAATTTTGTAGTTTTTGATGGTCTCTCCATTCTTCCAATAAGTTTTTTCAATCTTTTGTCGTTGTGGTATTTTTCTTGGGATCTGTTAAATGCTGTTTCATCATCAACATCACAGAAGGCGACACACCATCTAAGATGATTTTCTCTTGCAAGACAGAAGATCTCATATCTGAAGCCTTTGATGAAATTCATTCCATCACAGATAACAACTCTCTCCAAGCTGAGCATTCTACCAACAGCAGCTTTAAAATCACTTCTTCCGAGTCGTTCATTGTTAGATGAATCGAAAGTTCCTGCTTCTGGGCCTTTTTCTGTGACGATTGCACAATCTTGTTTCATTTCTTCAAACCTTTTCTTGAGATTGTTCGCTAAAGTTGTTTTTCCGGAACCTGGAACTCCAACAAGAAGAATTAGAGACATTTTTTTTGAAAAATAATTTTTTTAGATGATTAAAATTGAATTTTACTTTAAAATTGATATATTCTAAATGTAACATTAGCAAACAGTATGAATTCATGAACATGAATTTCGTAAATTTTTTGGAAATTCTAAAAAAAATAGTGAAAAATTGTTGAATTTTTCAAAATTATTTAATTTTGATATAAAATTTGAACATAAATTCATGAATTAAAACGAGGGATTGATTTAATAATTCATAATAAATCAGTATGCAATGTAACTACATAAAATTAACAAGATTAATATAATTTTTTTTTCAAATATTTAAGATTTGAAAGAAAAATAGCTCCCGAAAAAACAGTCAAAACATATACAAATGCTTTTTTGCTAATTAAATAGATCCACTTTTATTGAGATAATCTACAATAATTTGATACTCATTTAAGTTAAACAAAACAATTACTACACCTAAACAACATAGATTGATCATAAAATACTTCTTATCCATTAAAATATACCTATTTAAACTTTTCATTCTATCCTTTTCATATTGTTGGAAAGGTTTGCTTGAAAATAAATTTATCAAAAAACCTTAGCAGTATGCTCTACTTGTCATTGCCATAAAAGATCAGAGATTTATTGTTGATGTCGTTCTTTTACCAAAGAGAAAGGCATATTCTTCTAAGATATGTTTGGAAATAAGGTGATAATTATATCTTTAGTCTTATATAGGGTGTCCAAAGGTGTGTTTAGCACAAACCTGAATACTGCGAATAGAAATAAACAAGTTACATATATATAAAGTTTATTTAAATATAATCACCATTGGATTCAATCACGCGTTCGCAGCGATCGATCCAGGCTTCAAAGACACGCTTTAAATCATCATGAGAAAATTGCTCAAATTGCTCTCTTACAAAATTTTCAAGATCATCTGGACTCGCGAATTCGCGTCCTTCAGCTCTCTTTTTTAGCGTGCCGAATAAATAAAAGTCAGAGGGTGCAATATCAGGTGAATAAATTGGGTTTGGAACAACTTTGACATTGTTTTCCACCAAGTAATTCATTACCTTATGACTTTTGTGAACTCTTGAATTATCAAAATGAATTGCAAACTTTTGTTTTTGTTGTTTGGATTTCTCAAACTCATCAGAATTGATAATTTGAGTAAGAACATTGTCAATTAGATACTGAGCATTCATCGTATTAGGTTTTTGAAGAATATCAATTGCGATGATGCCATTCACGCCCCAAAAAACCGACAACATAATCATTGGTGTGTCAATTTTTTTCTTCGGGAATGTTTGCGGATTTTCATCCTTCGGGATCCACATGATTTTGGCTTCTGTTGCATATTGAAACCAAGACTCGTCCCCTGTTACTAAAAAGCGAAACTTCTTGGATTGATACGCACGCAATATAGAGAGGAGCTCTTTCGAAGATTGGACTCTAGATTTTTTTTGAACTGAATTAAGGTTGTGCGGAACCCAACGTGTATACGCTAGTTTGTAGTTCAAATAATTGTGCAGATAATAACTGACTGTTGTACGTGGTATCTTTGTCATCTCCTCTATCTTTCTGAGTGATGCTCTTGGGTCTTCATCTAGCGCTTGAAGAATTGCTTTGATTTTTCTTTGATCCGGCGATTTTTTGTCAATTTTTATGATGGGCGCCTTTTTGTTCATGAAGTGATACATCCTAACATGATACGTTACAGTGGAATAGCTAGGAGCATCCATACCGAAGCATTTTACCAATGTCTCGTAGATTTTTTACAGTCTTTGCATTTTTTTGCAAGAGCGAGGATGTTTTCTTTATGATTCATTAAAAAAATGAAAAAAATCCCGCCAAAATTTCCCGCGAAACCGCCTCTTGTCTCAAAATTCATTTTATATCCCGGCATGGCGCCAAAATACAACATACTCATCATATACATATATTCATATTTTTTATTATATATTTATAATCAGCATATATCTCCTTTAATAGTCTCATATAGAGCGCTGTGCTAAACGCACCTTTGGACACCCTATATTTATCACTAAAAAACATAAAACAATATAAGTAAATTACTCATAAAACTTGGTAAATTCATCAATATCATCAAGATCTTTGAAAGCACTTGTAATATCATTGATGTTGATTTGGGTTTCAATATTTGAAGACAAGTTTCCATTTATAATGCCATCAAAATTGAGTTGTTCAGTATTTTTTGTACTGTTTATACTGTTGGAGACTTGATGTGCTTTCTTCTTTCGCTTTTCAATAACAACAAACCTTACATTATCTTTTGTTGCGTTACGGCGCATAAGTTTTCTATATTGTGATTTGATCATAATGTCTGTACGATTCCTGAAGAATCTTGAAATCACACGCCATCGATGTCCAAATTCTTCCACTTTAGTGAGAAGGAGAAAGTTCTCTTCAGCACTAAACTTTTCGTTGTTTAGACCATCACGAAGATAGTTAATATATCTATCCTTGCATTGACGTCTGTTTTTATTTGCCATATGAAGTGCAACAAAATTCCAATTAATATTACGCAAATCATTTTGGAAATACTTGTTTATTATACTTTTTAAAGTCTCATCATCTTCTTTAGTGAACAAATTGTGTCGCCTTCTATCAAGATCATCTAATTCATAAGAATTAGAGTCAGATGAATCATCACTGAAGAATGAATCCATAATAAAATAAATGAATGATTGAATGAATTCAATTTTTCTGAAAAGATTTTATTTTAACCTCGCAAAATTCAATATAAAATACTTTTTCGTACTCATATTTATTAACCAATATTCGCATGAAGCTGCAAGGAACTATGAAGGAAAATAAAATTCAATGAATAATCCAAAAATTAACAATGAAAGGATATAAGTTTATTAAGACGCAACAAAGGTTTCATTTCCAAGTATAAAAATTTCAATTACTTTTTAAAGGGTTTGAATGCAATTGAAATTTTTGAGAGGAGATGATGCGAATTTGAGAATTTTTTCTTGAATTCTGATAACTCTGGACAAATGACCGATTATCTCTTATGAAATTAAATATGGAGTATTAGACCATATCAACGATAATTGCTATATAAATTGCAATGATCGCTATACTGAACGATACTGTCAAAAAACGATCCACTTTTCTGAATTTCAATAATTTCATTGATTTTTTTTTGATAGTCAGAAGGAGTTTTTTAGATTAAAATAAACAATTCTGTGACCTTAAAAGTGAATTGATATTGTAATAATAAATTATGAAACTTTTTTTTGCGATAATTGATTTTCACCAAAATTAACTCAGATTTTTAAGTGTTCAACTGATGGCATACTTATCAGCATATTATGTGAATGATTACTATATTTCAATAATGTAAAACTTTCCAAATTCAAATTCTCAAACAAATTTCATCTCATAAAGTTGTTCATACTACATACATGACAATAAATTCAGACAATTTATAAATCATCAATTCTTTGGAAATTTCGAGCAAAAATTTTATTATGAGAATAATAATTAGAAAAAAATATCATTAACATAAGAATTTCTGAATCATGACGCCTAAAAAATTATTTTTAAAAGTTAATAATAAAAAAATTATTTAAATTTTGACAATGTTGATTTGATCATGACAAAATTTGTCAAATTTAACAAATTTTGCACCAACTTGAGCTCGAAATTGGTTCATTTTTCGCATCTTTATTGTTCTCTTTCAAATTAAGAGCAGTTTTTCCATCGAGATCTTTTGCAGTGAGATTGGCACCATTCTGTGTAAGAATTTGTGCTATTTCTGTTAAATTGTTTTCAACTGCTAAATGAAGAGGAGTTTTATCTGAATTATTTTTTGCATTAATATCTGCACCATGTTTGAGAAGAATAATAATGGACTCTATTGCACAATTCTTTATGGCACAATGAAGAGGAGTGTCCCCTAAATTATCTCTTTCATTTATATTTGCTCCATTTAATATTAGAAGTTCCAATGCATCTCTGTTATTCTTTTTTGCAGCAAGATGAAGTGGGGTTACTCCAATAAAACCCTTTGCATTTAGATCAGAATTTTTTGAAATTAGAAGACCAATCATTTCTATAGAATTATAATAAGCTGCAAAATGTAGTGCTGTCAATCCATCATCATTAGTTTCACTTACATCAGCCCCATGTGAAATTAAGATCTCTGCAATTTCTATTCTATTTCTCTTTGATGCAAAATGAAGAGGGGTAATTAGGTATATAGACTTGGCATTAACATCTGCACCACATGAAATAAGAAATTGAACCAATTCAATACTCACAGATAGCGCTGCACAATGAAGAGGAGTGAGCAATGCCTCATTCTTCGAATTTACATCAGAACCATGCTTTATTAGGATTTCAGCTATTCTTTTATTTCCATTCGCTGCAGCAGAAAATAAAGGTGTGTATCCGTCGATATCCCTTGCTTCTATTAATGCACCATGTGAAATAAGAAGTTCAACCAAATCATAATTGTCTTTATCAGCTGCAAAAAGAAGAGCTGTTTGATTTTTGCTGTCCATCAGATTAACATTGGCTCCATGATTTATAAGAAATGCAGCATTTTCAAACTTATCATTCTTGATTGCATAATGGAGAGGTGTTATACCTTGCTCAGTTATGGCATTGATATATTTGAGTGTATATTGTGAGATTTTCTTCTTTTTTGGTGGATGAAGGAAATTGAAAATATTTACAGAACCGAAATAAGCACTTGCTTCTTGTACTGAAAGAGAAAAGCCAGGAATATCAATAGAAATTTCATTAATTTCCATATCTTCAGCGTATTCTTTAAATTTATCAATTTGATCGTTTATAAAGATTTTGACTAATTCCTCATCTTCTTGATAATTTTCACTAAATTTTACTTGACAAATGCCATCTATGTTAGTAACAAATTGCAGACCAATCATATATGCATCTTTGAAGTTTAAAAATGGGAAAATTATAAAAAATTGGATATATTTTTCTACAGATGAGATTTATATATATTAGCAAACAATAAACATGTTTAAGTATATTTTCCTTATGCAGGATAGTAAATTTCTTCATTATTTTCTTCTTCTTCCTCCCCTTCATTTATATTTCCTTCTATTTCTTCTTCCTCATCTTCAGAAAATTCATCATCTTCTTTATGATTCTCATTAAAATAGTCAATGGCAGTTTTTCCTTCATTGTTTCTTATATTTATATCTGCACCATGCAATATAAGTTGTTTGTAGATTTTTTACTACTTATTGCAGCATTATGAAGAGGTGTATTTCCATCTTCATCCATTGCATTTATATCAGCACCTTTCTCAATAAGGATTTTTGCTAATTGCCTGCAATTATTTTCTGCAGCATAATGAAGAGCCGTTTCTTGAAAATTATCTTTTAAATTTACATTTGCACCATGTGAAACAAGCAACATTGATACTAATTGATCTTGTTTCTCTGCAGCATAATGAAGTGCCGTTTTATCAAGTTTGTCAGTAAGGTTTATATTTGAACCCTTTAAAAGAAGCTTGACAACAATTTTATATCGTCCATATACTACAGCGTAATGAAGAGCTGTCTTTCCATTTTCATCTTTAACATCAAGATATTCTTCATCAGTCTTTGAAATTAATAATTCAGCCATTTCTAAGCGATTATATTTTATTGCATAATGAAGGGGAGTTTTACCATTTTTGTTTTGCGCAGCTGTAAATGCATGATTCAATATAAGAAGTTTTGCAATATTATCACTTTGATTCTTCACTGCATGATGCAAAGGCGTTTTCCCAGTATTATCATGAATATTCATATTTGCATCAAATGAACACAGTAATTTAATTAAAAATTTATTAGGGCGAATAACTGCAAAATGAAGGGCTGTTTGTCCATTATTGTCTTTTTCATCTATATCAATTTCATGAGAAAGTAAAAAAGCTATCATTTTAATATTATTCTTCTCAACTGCCCAATGAAGTAATGTTTTCCCAAATTCATTCTTAACATTGATATCAGCGCCATTTGAAATCAAAATATCTGCTAATTTTAAGTTTTCTTTTTGAACAACACATTGAAGAGGGGTCAAACCTTTGTTATTTTTAATATTGACATTTGCTCCATGTAAGATCAGAAGAGTTGCCGTATCTTGTTTATTATAATATGCAGCATGGAAAAAAGGAGTTTCACCATCTTCATCCACAGCTTCTAGAATGGCTCCCCGCGAAATAAGAAAGTCTGTTGTTTCTTTACCATTACTCTGAGCTGCCAAATGAAGAGGTGTCCTTAAATAATTTGTTTTTGAATTTACATCCAAACCTAATGTTATAAGTAGTTCTGCAATCTCTTTGCAGTTTCCATTTGCTGCATAATGAAGAGCATTCCAACCATTATAATCCCTTATATTGATATCTGATCCTATTGATAAAAGAAATTCTACAACTTCTTTACAATTGTGACCTGCAGCTATTTGAAGGGCAGTTTGTGAATTATGAAATTTTGAATCAATTCGAACTCCTTTTGAAATAAGAAGTTCTATAATTTCTTTATTATTATTTTTTGCTGCATGATAAAGGGCATTTTTATTCCTTTCATCTTTTTCTTTTATGTTTGCACCATGTGATATCAAATATTCTACAATTTCTTTATTGTTTTTCATAGCAGCAATAATGAGAGGCGATTGTTTCTTATCATTTTTCTCATTGACATTAGCACCATGCGATATTAGAATCTTCGCCAATTCTGTATTATTATTTTCTGTTGCATAAATAAGAGCCGTTTTTTCATTTCCATCTTTTGCATTAATTTCAATTTGATACGCTTCTGGCATTGTTAATAAATAATTGCAAATTTTTGTATTACCATGTTCAGCTGCCGAAAGTAATATAAACCTATAACAAATATCAGTAAAATCAAATTTTTCATTCTTTAAAATATCAATTGACTGTGGAAAAGCAACACACCAAGGCATTATTGATTTCTTATCGTATTGAAACATAAGAAATAGAGCTTTTAAGTTTTGAGAAGAAATTACAACATCACGCTTAACAAAAGTAGAACGAATTAATTCCTTTTTAAAACAATATTCAAGATATTTGTTGTTATGGGATTCAACCATGTAATCAATGCATTTATTGTTGACAGTATTCTTCTTTAAACATCTTTCGATTATTTCCGGATTTCTCCCAATAAATGCATATCTCAGTGTAGTTTGTAATATTTTTTTCTTGTTATCTGGATGAAGAAAATTAAAAATATATTTACGGAACCAAAATATGCGCTAGCTTGCTGAGCATCAAGATCGAAGCCATGAATAACTAATTGAATTTCATCAACAGGTGTATGAATAATATAATTTTTGAATTTATCAATATCATCATCTATAAAAATGTCATGAATTTCTTCACGCTTTGGAAAAAATAATTTGTTTTCATCATAAGTGATTTGGTAAACATTATTATCATTAAGAATGAATTGGAGATGTATAAATTCAGCTTCTTCTAATAAATCTTTAGAAGGTTTTGATGTTATTGAGTATTTTAACAAGATTTGATTAATTAATTTGATATAAAGATTAAAAGATCGATAGTTGTAATTAATTGCCGTAAAGATCTGAGAAATGACTTTAGAAATTGGCATTTTATACTTTGATATTATAACATTTGTGATCATATTAAAAACTTCAACATATGATTCAGCTGTTTTTATTTGAAAAACATTCTCTAATGCTGCATGATAATCATCATACTTCTTTAAGTATTCGAAGCTCATGAAAAAGTACTAAATCAAATAAAAAAAGCGGTTTGTTAGTCAAAAAATGCATTGAAAAAAATCCGTTATATATTTTTCCAACAAATCGACAAGAGAAATATTCTTAAAAGGTATTTGGCTATTTATGTTATATTGAGATACATGTTTTTTGATGAATTTGGATATTGATTAGTTCTTTCATTCTAATTAAATACTGATTAATAATGATTTTCTATGCATAATCATAGAGCACATAAGTACATCTTTAAATGTGAACAATTGAAAAAAATTAAATATTATTATATGAAATAAATAAAGAATAGCTTATCATATACAAGAGATTAGTTTCAATTTGGTGACAATAATATTACCATATGGGTAAATTTTGAAGATTTCTTGCTCTTTTCAATGAATTAATTCTTGGGCGCAAAGACTTTAATGAATCACTGCCAAAGTTTAGAACTATTCAGTTTGTAAAACTTAAAGACACTTTTTCCATATGAAAAAGTTGATATTTTTATGAATAAACAAAATTATTGCATACATTCATCATACTCTATCTTTTCACTGTTTCAAAATATAAAAAAGTTCTCGAGATGAAGATTCATTTATTAAATGGCTTTCATTTTTGTAAACTAAGCTAGGGACCCATTAATTGAATGATATGGAAAAAATTACAATAAACATGTCAACACTGTTTCTGATATTAACATAAACACTAAGTAGTACTAAACTACATGAGATTAATACCGAAGTCAATATTATGTCTCAAATTTTAATTCGTTTGTAAGTTTACAATTTCATTAATAAATTTTATTATAAATAGATAAATTAATGAGCGTATTTGAAATTGGCAAACTTTTCTTATTTGTAAACATTTGAATTATTTGATCAATTATTTTTCTTCATTTTTTAGATATGGTGTTAATTAAACTAGATAACGAGATTTTATGAAGAATTAACAACTACAATGTGTGTGATAGGCTAACTTTAACAGTAAATAGTGTTGAATTTACACTAAATAAATCTTTCGCAGTTGCATCCTCAAAAATGATCTATTCGCAGTATCTTTTAGATAAAGGCGTTGAAAAGATTGATTCAAATGCAGATGTAAAATCAGAAGAAACCTATAATGCATTAAAAGACATTCTTCAATACAGCAAAACGGAGATTGAATGTGACAAAATAGTACTGAAAGATCTTTTTCATATTGGGCTTAATCTCGAAATGCGTGAATTATGTGATCTTTACAAAAAGTACGTCATTGATGAGATGGAACTTAACAAAAGTAATTGTATTGAATTACTTGAATACTATTTCGATATTTCATCACAAAAAGACATTTCAAAATGTATTAATTACATTTCATCCCATTTCTTTACTATTGATGAAGAATCTCTTAAATCAGTTTCTAAAAAACTCGGAATTGAAATTTTCCAAAGGATCATCGGAAGTAATAGACTTGCAATTAAAGATGAAGACTCGTTAGCAAGTTTTATCATTTCTTTAACTAAAGAAAACGAAATTTTTAATCCTTTGATTGAAAAAATTCAATTCGAGTTTTGTTCAAAAAAGATAATTGATGAAATACATAGTTTATCCAATGCCGAAAACTGTAAAATTATCATGAACTCTTTTAATGACTCATTGCTAAGGGCCATAAATCCTAACAAAATCAATCCACGTTCTTTCAATCCAGAAATATTAACAACTGAAATATCTGAGTACAAAAATTCAGATGATTTCGAAAGCATTTACAATTTCCTTGATCGACTTTCTGAAAATGGCTATCAAGATATGATGTATAAAGCCTGTCAAGAAGGACTTTGTGAGAAAAGAGAGAATGAATTTAATAGAAATGTACTTCATGTTGCTGTTCTCCGAGGAAATTTCAGACTTGTAAAATCTCTTATTGAGAGTGGTTGCAATAAAGAAACGCAAGATAATAAGGGATGGACTCCACTAATTTTGGCATCTCAAAAAGGTAATCTTGAAATAATTAAATATTTAATATCTATTGGAGCAAACAAAGAGGCTCAAAATTTTGAAAGAATAACTCCATTAATTGCAGCTTCATCATACGGATTCCTGGAAGTTGTTCAATATCTTATTTTTATCGACGTCAATAAAGAGGCAAAAGACAAGGATGGAAATACACCACTTATTTTGGCTTCATTCAATAATCACCTTGAAGTAGTTAAATATCTTGTTTTTGTTGGAGCAAACAAAGAAGCAAAAAATAATAAAGGATGGAGTCCATTAGTTAATGCATCATGTATGGGACATCTTGAAATCGTTAAGTATCTAATTTCAGCTGGCGCTGATAAGGAAACTAATAATCCTGGCAGGTTGACTCCTCTAATAATTGCTTCTCGTCAGAGCCAATTAGAGGTTGTTAAATATCTTATTTCTGTTGGAGCAAATAAAAACGCAAAGACGAGTCAAGGATTAACTCCTCTGATCATTGCCTCTCTAAATAATCATTGCGATATTGTTCAATATCTGATTTCTATTGAAGTAGATAAAGAAGCAAAAGATAACTATGGATTGAATTCACTCCATTATGCATCATTTTATGGTCATAAAAATGCTGCTGAATATCTTATCTCTGTTGGACTAAATAAAGAAGCCAAAACTAATGATGGATATACTCCACTTATGTTAGCATCCAAAGAAGGAAAACTAGAAGTCGTTAAATATCTAATATCTGTTGGTGCTGATAAAGAAGCAAAGGGAAATGATGGAAAAACTCCAATCTCATTAGCAACAGGCAAAGTGAAAGATTTCTTATTATCTGCTTGAATAAACAATTTTATTTTATTTTTTTTTTAATTTGCATTTTCACTTGTTGAATTTTAATATTGAATTGTAACTCAAATGTATCGCAAGAAAACTGTCATTCTATTTTATTTTTAAAATTTTTCTCATTTTCATCCGTAAAATCTCCATATCGTACTTCTTCCCTCAATATTTAGCAAAAACATATCAAAGAATTTGAAAAAGAGACTTTACGAAGGAAAATGAGTTTAATAAAAATTTAATTTTTGCAACTTTCTCGTTAATATTCATTAAGATTAATAACATATAACGAGAAAAAAGTTGCTATTTTTTTATACAATAAAAATTAAAAAATAATTTTTTAAGAAGAATCGCTAACTAGTTGGTCGTATTCGTGGAGAACGTAAGTTTCCCAAGGAGTGAGAGCCTTTGTAGCCTCGTCGAGTGAAGGGCTGACTATAGGGAAGGAGTATTCTTTTGTAAGGAATTTCTGGATGTCGAAGAGTGTGTTGAAGAACATGTCAGCCTGCTTTGATCTGATAAGGTCTTCCACAGTAACATAAGCCGGATTTGTAGGTGAAATTACGTCGATAAGTTGTTTTTGGATATCTTCGAATGGAATTGTTTCGTTACCTGTCATTTTAATCTGCTCGAACTGAACTGCGTATAGTTGTTCGATTTCTGACATAGAAAGAATTCCATCGTCATCAAGATCGCAAATTCTGTACCAGAAATTGATGGAAGTGCGATTTGTCTTGTCTTCGCTTGACATTAAGAAGTAAGAGAAGGCCGGGAAGTCGATGTTTTGTCTCTTCGACTGATTTCTTGGATATGCTGTAGATTTGAAGAATCTATCGATGATCAATGGCGATATTGTTGAGTCATTGAACTTAAGCATATCATCTTTGCAGATAAATCCATCATTATCTACATCAAGATCCCAGAACTTGCAAAAAGCGACGTAGAAGTGCTGGTAGTTGAAGATATGATGGGTCTCGTTGATATCGGGCATCATGAAGGCGTTAAGGAAGATAGAAGCCATACCATATTTTCTAAATTGAGTAACATTGGCTGTTCCTCTTAATTCTGTGTCCATCTGGTAGAAGCACCTTGTAACAATAAAGTCGACGAATTTTTCTTGGAAGAGTGGCTCGTTTTCAAGGAAATTAAGAGATTCATGAGTTTCAATGATGGATTGAACAAATAATGTCAAATCATTTGGAATAATAGCATTTTTGTGAGGTCCGGCGCAGAATCTGAAGAATCTTTCATCGGGATCACGGCCTGCAATGTGTTTTTCGTAAAAACTCAAGAATTTGGTAACATCTGAGCCGTATAACTTAATGATAACTGGAGCGAAGCATCCTGGAAGGCTGCATTGATCTTTGAGGATGACATCAAGAATTTGCGTTGTAATTGAGTCTCCTTTGATCAAAGCCTTGACTTCGTTCATCTCCTGTGATGTATCACCTGGTCCGTAGAATGTTGGAATTTGAACATTTTGATATGGCTCTAATTGAATTCTTCCGAGGTTTGATTTTGTCATCGTTGGGTTGATAACGGACTTCTGAGGTGTAACCATTGTCTGTGGGAGTTTTGGCTGTGGACGTGATGTTGTTTTTGTTTCATTAAACAAACCAAAATCGAAATCTACTTCTTTTCCTTGTTCTAATGCATCTGCTGCAGCGGCAATTTCATTAAGAATTTTAACTGTTGATACATCTGTCAGCCACTGAGAAAAGAAGCCATCAAGCTTCAGATCTACATCGACCTGCATTTTTTTTATTGAGAACAATAGAATGAAAAAAAAATGTAATGACATGTTAAATATGAAATTGATAAAAGAAATAACAATCAAAAATATCCGTCAAGCAATTGCTCCATTTCTGAATGAAATTTGAAATTGGCGTCAAAAATTTTCTCACTGGGTTTTCGTCTATCAATCCCAGCTCATTATATACGCAACCAATCAAAAATCTGATATGGGAGTCCAAGGCTAACTTTTTGTTGTCTACCTAATAAAAGAGGAAGCAGCATTAGTGAGAATAATCGCAAATATTCAATTTAAATTATCTTTTTATTCTTAATTTAAAGTGACAAAAAGAATAAAAAACCTATTCTAAGGCATGTTGTTATGTAAATGAGACTAGACATCATATTTTATGTTATGAAAAAAAAATATTTAGAATTTTAGAACAAAATAAATAGAAAAAATAGCATAACTTATGGATGTGCGTATATTAAATTTAATAAATTAAGAGAAATTATTTTTGGCCGCCAAAAATATTCGTTAACTCTCAAATTTTTCTGAGTCAATAAGCCGCAAAAAAGTGTCATTTTGTTTCGTTAGAGAAAGATGAATTGTCCATGTCATCCAATCGGGAACAAGGGGGATGGGGATTAGATGATAAAGAAGCAATTCATGCTCTCTATCTGAAGCAATCAGACTTACCAGCAACAATGTGAATCGATTTGGCTTTAAAGTTAATATAGCAGATCAGCTTGTTACTGGAGAGACTAGGCATTACGATTGATTCGCTGTAGTGCTCTACTTTAATTTAAGAGTAGTAACGGATAACTGAATTCCCAAAATTCTTTAGGTGATCCAAAACACTGTAGCTGCTTGAACTTTGGACGAGCCTCGCACCCCAGAGAATAGAAATCCCAATCTTGCTCATGTTTAGTTGAATTAGTCTGCAGCAGTACAGCTCTGATACCACAAGATCGTGATGTATACAAAGTCACAACGCTATTTGATTCAACAACTAGCTAGTTTTGACATCAAATTGCAAAATTTGACTTCGTTATGAGCTCTTTGTAGCAAAAATACATTACACTTAAAGACTAGTTGCTAGACTGTAGTAGTTTGTTCGTATATATCTATTTTTCCCCAACGTATTGCATACTACATTTTGACAAGACTTGCAACCTTATAGTAACCTCGTTGGGAATTGTTCAAGCAAAGCGTAGGTAGTTAAGGTCGAGTAAGAGTTCTTCTTAAATCTTTCACTGAATGAGTAGGTGTTGGAAGAACTGTTCTCTAAAGCGATACAGTTGCGCTACATGTTCGTCAACTTGTCTAGAAATAAATATATCATTTGTTTTATACGTTTTTTCGTAATAAATCTATTTGTATTTGTTGTATTTGAGTATGAAGATAACAAAAACTACGGCATAAGACGCAGTACACTGGGCTTCGTTTGCCATTTTATTTACCATGTTAAGAATAAACTTAACAGACATGCTTTGTTTTCGACGAAGCCATCTAAAATAACGTACATCTAAATAAAACTAAAAAACTGTAAAATTTCTTTATTTGATAGTATACTTCAAATTATGCACTATACCTTCTAGAATTCTATAACACTCTTTGCATATAATTTTTAAAAAAAAAGTTATATCTCGACAAAAATATGATTTATCAATAGAGTATGTAAAATAAAACTCATTCGCAGTATTAAAAAATCGTAAATCTTTCCAAAAAAATTTTGAATTACAAATTTTAAAACTTAAAACAACATTTTTTGAAGCGAAAAAACGAAATCTAATTTTTTTGGAAAATTTGAATAAATAGAGCTCTTTAACTCGTCGAATACAAATTGTTTTCAAGTTTTTTTCGACCGGAAATTGAACTTTTAGAGTTTATACAATAAGATTCACATGAAAAAATACGGGTTTAACAAAGAAATCACCAATATAAAGGTTTTTTTAGTAGAACGAGATTGATAAAAAACTATGGTATGATAAAAAGACGATAATTTTTTTGGCGGGATAATTGAAGAATATGAATGATTCGAATTACAGACATACTCTAGTCCGAAACTTACTATGGTTCGTGACTTATTTTTGACACAGAATAGCTGTAGACTAAGGCTTACTCTAGATCCAGACTTATTATACAATTAAATTTGCTTTTGGAATAAGACTTAATTTTAGTTACAAACTTATTAATATCAGACTTATATTTAGAATCAGACTTACTTTAGTCTAGAACTTACATTTAGAATCAGACTTCCATTTCAAGTCAGACTTACTTTCGTCCGAAACTTCCATTTCAAGTCTGTCTTACCTTCGTCCGAGACTTACATTTCAAGTCAGACTTACTTTCGTCCGAGACTTACATTTCAAGTCAGACTTACTTTCTTCCAAGACTTACTTTCGTCCGAGACTTACATTTCAAGTCATACTTACTTTCGTCCGAGACTTAAATTTCTAGTCAGACTTACATTTCAAGTCATACTTACTTTCGTCCGAGACTTAAATTTCTAGTCAGACTTACATTTCAAGTCATACTTACTTTCGTCCGAGACTTACATTTCAAGTCAGACTACATTTCGTCCGAGACTTACATTTCAAGTCATACTTACTTTCTTCCAAGACTTACTTTCGTCCGAGACTTACATTTCAAGTCAGACTTACTTTCGTCCGAGACTTACATTTCAAGTCAGACTTACTTTCGTCCGAGACTTACATTTCAAGTCATACTTACTTTCGTCCGAGACTTAAATTTCAAGTCATACTTACTTTCGTCCGAGACTTACATTTCAAGTCATACTTACTTTCGTCCGAAACTTACATTTCAAGTCAGACTTACTTTCGTCCGAGACTTACATTTCAAGTCAGACTTACTTTCGTCCGAGACTTAAATTTCTAGTCATACTTAAATTTCAAGTCATACTTACTTTCGTCCGAGACTTAAATTTCAAGTCATACTTACTTTCGTCCGAGACTTACATTTCAAGTCAGACTTACTTTCGTCCGAGACTTACATTTCAAGTCAGACTTACTTTCGTCCGAGACTTACATTTCAAGTCAGACTTACTTTCGTCCGAGACTTACATTTCAAGTCATACTTACTTTCGTCCGAGACTTACATTTCAAGTCATACTTACTTTCGTCCGAGACTTACATTTCAAGTCATACTTACTTTCTTCCAAGACTTACTTTCGTCCGAGACTTACATTTCAACTCAGACTTACTTTCGTCCGAGACTTACATTTCAAGTCAGACTTACTTTCGTCCGAAACTTACATTTCAAGTCAGACTTACTTTCGTCCGAGACTTACATTTCAAGTCAGACTTACTTTCGTCCGAGACTTACATTTCAAGTCATACTTACATTAATATCAAACTTATATTAACCTACGACTTACTTTTATTCCCAGACATCTTGATCCACACTGACATTGAAAACCACTCATACATCTGAAGCCACTCAAACATCTAGATCCACTACGACATGGAGATCCACTCAAACATAATTTTTGCTCTCTAACTACATTTTTATATGATTTTACAACCTAAATTTTCTTCTTTACCTAAAGATTATTCGCAATATCTGAATATCATTAATTAATTGAGATATTCAAGTTTTGACAGCGGATTTGGAAAGCAGACTTGATGGAGATTTTAAATCTGATGTCAAATCTTGGTTTTGTGCATTATTGGAAGAGAAAAAAGGGTGTTAATTGCAAATCTTAAATATAGGTTTTTACGAAAAATGTAATTAGGGTTAGAATCATAGAAAGATATATCTGTCAGACATTGTTATGTGTGACAGATAATATTGCATCTCATAGACACTGTTGCATCTGTCAGACACTGTTGCATCTTTCAGACACTGTTGCATCTCATAGACACTGTTGCATCTGTCAGACACTGTTGCATCTTTCAGACACTGTTAAATTTCATAGACACTGATGCATCTCATAGACACTGTTGCATCTGTCAGACACTGTTGCATCTATCACTTACTTTTGCTTCTGTTAGATACTATTGTATCTCATAGACACTGTTGCATCTCATAGACACTGTTGCATCTCATAGACACTATTGCATCTCATAGACACTGTTGCATCTGTCAGACACTGTTGCATCTCATAGACACTGTTGCACCTCATAGACACTGTTGCATCTCATAGACACTGTTGCATCTATCACTTACTTTTGCTTCTGTTAGATACTATTGTATCTCTCAAACACTGTTGCATCTCATAGACACTGTTGCATCTCATAGACACTGTTGCATCTCATAGACACTGTTGCATCTCATAGACACTGTTGCATCTCATAGACACTGTTGCATCTGTCAGACACTGTTGCATCTCATACACACTGTTGCATCTCATAGACACTGTTGCATCTGTCAGACACTGTTGCATCTCATAGACACTGTTGCATCTCATAGACACTGTTGCATCTCATAGACACTGTTGCATCTCATAGACACTGTTGCATCTCATAGACACTGTTGCATCTGTCAGACACTGTTGCATCTCATAGACACTGTTGCATCTGTCAGACACTGTTGCATCTGTCAGACACTGTTGCTTCTGTTAGATACTATTGTATCTCTCAAACACTCTTGCATCTCTCAGACACTGTTAAATTTCATAGACACTGTTGCATCTGTCAGACACTGTTGCATCTCATAGACACTGTTGCATCTATAAGTCACTGTTGCATCTATCACTTACTTTTGCTTCTGTTAGATACTATTGTATCTCTCAAACACTGTTGCATCTATAAGTCACTGTTGCATCTATCACTTACTTTTGCTTCTGTTAGATACTATTGTATCTCATAGACACTGTTGCATCTCATAGACACTGATGCATCTCATAGACACTGTTGCATCTTTCAGACACTGTTGCATCTCATAGACACTGTTGCATCTCATAGACACTGTTGCATCTCATAGACACTGTTGCATCTCATAGACACTGTTGCATCTGTCAGACACTGTTAAATTTCATAGACACTGTTGCATCTCATAGA